GGTGGCGGCGGCGTTGCAGAGCGTCTCCTGCGCATGCGCAGGAGACGCTCTTGCACTTTCGGGGGGATTTAAACATCCCCCCGAAATTTTTTAAAACTTTTTGTATTTTTGTGCACACGTGGGGACTGGCCCACGTGTGCACAAACCTCCCCCAGCCCCCCAGCTGCCCCCTCCGTGCTGATTTAGCGATCCGCACGGAGGGGGCAAGTTGGCTATTAGATATATAGATATGGAGCAGAGGTCCATCAGTGGCTATTAGCCACAAGGTATAGATAGGGGCTCTGGGGCAAGTGATGCTCTGTCTTCTTGGTGCTTGGGGGGGTCAACAGTGGGAGGGCTTCTAGTGTCCTGGCCCCACTGCTGGACCTCCTGATGGCACCTGGTATTTCTGGCCACTGTGTGACACAGAGTGTTGGACTGGATGGGCCTTTGGCCTGATCCAACATTGGCGTCTCTTATGTTCTTATGTTCTTAAGCAGGCCAATGGCAATAGTGATTTATTGGAACCTATTGTTTATCGGCCCCCAGGCAAACACTTTGAGGGCAGCGGCCTGTGTTCGTAAGCCCAGCAGAGAAGCGTAACACAAAGAATCCGCTTCCTGTGCCTACAGAAGTGCTCACAGGAGTCTCTCTTTTATTTCTTCCTCCCGTCAAACACGAAGGTGGTGGTTCAAGGCATCCCAGAGGTGTCACGAGCTGTCATTCATATCGACGAGCAGAGCGGAAAAGAGAAGTACAAATTGCTGGTGGAGGGTGACAACCTGCGCGCCGTCATGGCCACGCACGGAGTCAAAGGGACCAGGACGACTTCCAACAATACTTACGAGGTACCCGTCAAGAGAATGGCATTATTAAAAAAAAGAAGAAGAAGATGCGTTTGGAAAGTCTGTGTTTCTGGCGCAAGCCGAGTCTGGGGCTGGGCAAGGAAGTGTGGAGATGGGCTGTGGGGGGAGCATTACTCGGAGGGACCTGGGTGCCCTGCACACATTTCTCCCCCCAAGTTATTGATCGCTCAATCCTTGCAGAGCTGCCGGCTCTGAGCGATTTACAGTTACTCATGTGTTGACACGGGACTAACAACGATGGGGGTAAGGGAGGACAACATATATCATTTTTAATCACACACACTTCGCAGTCGACAGGGAATATGGTCAGCTGTAAGCATCAGACGTGTTCCGGCAGCATTCTTTAGTCGCTGTCGCTTGATGTCGTCAGCATTTTTCTCAGTCGCAGCGCACCACTGCCACCGTCTGGCCGGAATGGCCCATTGCAGGGTTTTCTTTGATGCTGCGTAGATCTCTCTCGGCTTTTGATCTTCCCCGCGGACCTTCCTTTGTTGGCTAACACTTCTCACGGGGGGGGGGGGTTAGTGTGCCCACCCTCTCTAAGGAGTGGTACCCATTTTATCTACTCGCCGAAGCTTTCGAACCGCTGGGTGGACGGCGAGCTGGGGACACAGCTGGTAGCTCACACCAGTGCGGGGCTCGAACTGACAGCAGTCCTGTTCAGCCCAGATGTTTAACCAGAGGATAAATCCCCTGTGCCACCGCACCACATGGAACAAACCACTTGCCGATTGGTTAATCCAGCATCATTCCTGTCTTTTAGGTTGAGAAAACCCTGGGCATTGAGGCCGCTCGTACCACCATTATTAACGAGATTCAGTACACGATGGTCAACCATGGGATGAGCATTGACCGGAGGCATGTGATGTTGCTCTCTGACCTGATGACGTACAAGGTTGGTCCTCGTCACTTTGGTAACCCAGCGGTTTTGCCCCCACTCCCTACCTGCCTTCCTCTAGAACAGTGGTCCTCAACCTGTGGGTCGCGACCCCTTTGGGGATCGAACGAGGTTGCCTAAGACAATCGGAAGACACAAATTTTTGATGGTCTTATGATAGCAACGAAAATAATTTTATGGTTGGGGGTCACCACAACATGAGGAACTGTATTAAAGGGTCGCGGCATTAGGAAGGTTGAGAACCACTGATCTAGAATGAGTGTAGGGGTAGAACACGAAGGGATTTGCTCTCTCTCTCTCTGTCTCCCTGTCTCTCAAATAGCACAGCTCCTAGCCGATAGGCTGTGAGCGAACTGCACTGAGCTGCAAAGCAGGAATTTCCCCCCCTTTTAATTAATTAATTTTCTATAATTTATTTGATCATGCATACATTTTTGAGATTCTCCTCATGTCTCTTACATTCGAACAAACCCCAAATAAATTTCGGTAATGGAACTGTAATAGCTGGGCCATGACCATCGAGCAAAATTGGAGCTTACTTGCTACAGGCACATCTATATCGGGACCTAGCGGATCAGTCAGCTGTGTTCTTCATTGCTTACATCTTTGAGAAAAGAATAGGACAGGCTCCGTAGTTTCGACAGAACCAGTTTCAGGAACCTCTGGACAACGATGGGAAGGTCACTGTCAGGGTTCCCTCTGAGCTGAGTTAGTGTGAGCTAGCTCACAGTTTTTTAGCCTCCGGCTCGCACATTTTTGTCTGAGCTCAGGAAGGATGGCTCCAAGGCAAACTAATGTATGCAGTAGCCAAATTGCTCGCTCACAACTTTAATGCCAGGAGCTCACAAAGTAGAGGTTTTGCTCACAAGAGTCCACAGCTTAGAGGGAGCCCCGGTCACTGTGAAGCCTGCTGTAGGACGGTGTCCCCAACGTGGTGCCCCCCCCAGCACCTTTCCTGGTGCCCGCCGTGTTTTTTAAAAGTGGGCGGGGCCAGTTGCAGCACTCACACCCGCAGGCTTCCGACTGGGCGGTGGAGATCCAGTTGGCTGGGCAGATTAAACTAATTAAGTTTCAGTAACAGCTGCCGCCGCAGGGTTGGTTTTATTCTCTCTCACTCTTCTTTCCCAAGTGTATTTTTTAAAAATTATTCCCCTTTTCCCTTCACTTAGGCTTCCTGTGTGTGTGTGTCAGTGGTAAAACAAAGGATTCTAGATGTTGAAAGGCAACACGATCTGAACAGAGCGAAGAGCGATATAATCGATCTGAACACCCTAAATAGGCCTTTTATTGGTGGCTTATGTCAACAGTTTAGAGAATCCCAATTATAGGAGGGCTTTCACTCTGTTAAGATATGATGCACTGCCTACTGCGGTATTGGAAGGCAAATATAAGAAGACACCTTTAGAAGAATGCCTGTGTCCAGGTGGGGATGGGAGTGTCGAGACAATTAAGCCGCGTAATTTTTTATTGTAAAAACTATAAGCAGTTTCGGGAGCCTTTGGTAGCGCCGGTAAATTCTAGCTTCCCGGGGAAAGATATATATAAAAAAGTCACCACAAGAAAATGCTGGCTGATAGAAATAGCAATGTCACCTTTAAAATGGCAAAGTATGACTGGCTGGCAATTAAGTTGAGGAAAATGTGGATAAGTCATACTAGTTAATATTTTAGAGATGGTTTTGTATCATTTAATATTTTAGCTTATATAAATTATTTACCTATGTATTTTACAAGCATTATATTTAGGTACAGCAAACGGAAATGCTCAAGCTCGGGTGTAAATGCGTTTCACTTGTTTGGTGTAGTGGTTAAGTGCGCGGTCTCTAATCTGGGAGAACCGGGTTTGATTCCCCACTCCTCCACTAGCACCTGCTGGATGACCTTGGGCAAGCCGTAGTTCTGACAAGAGCTGTCCTTGTAAAAGAGCACTTTCTGTCCAGAGTTCTCTCAGCCCCACCTACCTCACACGGCTGCAGTAAGCAGACACACACACACACACCATCCTGAATAGAACAGATTTATTGTTACAGTCGACAACCAGAACACAGTTAATAGGTTCCTGCCCCAAAATAGCCCTGGTTACAATCATAGATCAGTCACGATTGGCACTCATCGTTATCAGCACATTTGCAAACAATGAAATTCCCGGGCAGCTTGGCAGGCCGATTTCAATAGTAGAGGCAATGAATAAGAAGACTTGACCAGCTGCTTCCTTCTTGGTCTTGCCGAGGGGCAAAATATGGCCAGCTGAGAGGTGATTTTGACTTTAGACGAAGCTAGCTAGGTCCGCATACTCTTTCATGACCTATAGTAACGCTTGTGGGTGCATGTGACCTATGCTTGGTGGGTGGGCCCCATTCCCCAATTACCGATCCCTAGCTTATGCTCGTTAGTTCTGACAAAGGCGCTTTGCCTTGACCAGAAGTCCAGGCTGTGGGGTCATGTGAGCAAAAACGCTGCTTTCTGGGCTACCTGGCATTACAGTTGTGAGCAGGTGATTAGGCTGCTGCATAAAGTAGTTTGCTCCGGAGCCCTCCTTCCTGAGCTAAGACAAAAATGTATGAGCCGGAGGCTAAAAAAATGTGAGCTGGCTCACACTAATTCAGCTGAGGGGGAACACTGCTGTGCACCCCTAATATGGAGCCCGGAAATCAGCACCTCCGCCGGTCGCCTCTCCTTCGGCAAATCCGTTCTCTTGCTTTTTCATGTGTTTCCCCTCCCTGTTTTCCACTGTGGGCTAGGGCGAAGTCCTGGGCATCACTCGGTTTGGACTGGCCAAAATGAAGGAGAGCGTCCTGATGCTTGCGTCTTTTGAAAAGACAGCGGACCATCTCTTTGACGCGGCATACTTCGGGCAGAAGGACTCAGTGTGCGGTACGTAATCTGCATTCATTTACCTCAAAACGAAGATTGCGTGATTGGCCTCTGGTTGGGGAAACGGAGCATGGCCTTTTCTGCTGTTGCCCCAAGGAGCAACCTCCACTTTAAAAAAACAACAGAAACACACTTCTGGAGCTCGCTAAGACGATCCAGTTAAAAAGCAGTAGAGCTGGGAAGGAAAGCCTTTGGACATTGGGATAGATCAGGGCCCCCAAACATGGTACCCCTGGGGCCCCATGGTGCCGACCAGCACCTTTCCTGATGCCTGCCAAGTGTTTTAGAAAGTCCAGGAAGGCTCCTGACTGGCCACTGGGGACTTGGTTGGTCGTGCAGATGTTTAAAGACACGGCTTGGCAGTCACTGCCACCCCAGCCCAAGGGTCTTCACTGTATGACCGAAGGCTAAGCTGCAGCAGCCATTTTGTGGCTGCATCCCTCACACTATGTCAGAATCCCAAAGGTGCCCGAAGGGTCCGAAAGGTCGGTGAACCCTGGAATAGATGGTACTGGGCTTTGTGAACCAATGGCCTAACCCAGTAAAAGGCCGCTTGATGTAGTCATATGAAAAGCCAGCACAAAGTTTAACGGTGTACTCAGAACGTTTTCTTGCTCGGTTTTGGGGGAATCCCTAAGAAGATGCATTCGTGCATTCATTTATACCCCGCTTTCCTCCTCATAGCAGGGACTCGAAGCGGCTTTTGTTCTCCCCTGCTCCATTTTCTCACAACAGCAACCCTGTGAGGTAGGCCAGGCTGGGAGCTTGTGACAGTCCCACGGTCAGCCAGTGAACTTCCATGGTTGGGATTCAAACGTGGGTCCTCCAGCATCCTAAGTCCACTGCTCTATCCACTACTCGGAGAGCCAGTTTGGTGTCGTGGTTAAGAGCGCGGACTCTCATCTGGGAGGACCGGGTTGGATTCCCCACGGCTCCACACGCAGCTGCTGGCGTGACCTTGGTTAGGAGCACGGACTCTCATCTGGGAGAACCAGGTTGGATTCCCCGCTCCTCCACACGCAGCTGCTGGGGTGCCCTTGGTTAGGAGCACGGACTCTCATCTGGGAGAACCAGGTTGGATTCCCCACGGCTCCACACACAGTTGCTGGCGTGACCTTGGGTCAGTCACAAGTCCTGCCAGAGCTGTCCTCTCCAGGGCAGTCCTCGAGAGAGCTCTCTCAGCCCCACCCACCTCGCAGGGTGTCTTGTCGGAGGGGGGAAGGTCTTGTCGGAGGGGGGAAGGGAAAGTAGATTGTCAGACGCTCTGAGACTCCTTCGGGTAGCGAAGTGGGCGGGGTAGAAATCCAGTCTCCCTCTCCTTGTATTGTCCCAAACTGCCTCTCAAGATGGTGCTGCCTGGTTGTGAGCCAGCATGGGCCATCTCTCTTCCCACGTTCCCGGCTTCCAGTGGTTAGGGCTGAGGTAGCACCGTCTGTCCGACCGCAGTTGGGTGAGGCTGTAGGTGGCAACTCTGGGACACCTGAGCCCCGGAACGGGGTCCCGAAGCGCAGCTGTGCCCGGTGAGGGGGAGCCACCGAGACGGGAGTGGGAACGTCAGTGTGATGCTTGCCTGGTCTCTCCTCTAGGAGTCTCAGAGTGCATCATCATGGGCATCCCCATGAACATCGGGACCGGACTCTTCAAGCTGCTGCATAAAGCGGACAAGGAAGCCAGCCCCGCGAGGAGGCCTTTGATATTCGATAACCCCGACTTCCATGTGACCCTTACTACGTAGCAGCTGGATGGCGGCGAATGGACGGTGTGTTGAAACTGGACGACATTTGCTGTGTGCCTTTCTGAGTCTGGGAGATGGGAGAGGGAGCGAGAGCACAGGGTGGGCAAGGGATACACCCCCTGCCACCCCCCCGAGATACAGGTGTTGTCAGACCCCAGGAGAAACCGGTTCCCAACAACAGTCATTCAAAGGAATTAAAAAGATTATTGAGACACCGATAGGATCCAGGCTCTTAACGGTTCTGTGTTAGAACTGGGGGAAAGCGTGTAAAGCAAGCAATTGTATCGAAATCAAGCAAGACCTTAATGGTCCGGGGCCAATCGCACCTAAGCTTGAGGCCTGCCTGAATGACGGTCTATAGTTCCCAGGG